GAGGGAGACCGTCGGCCCCGGGTCGCGCCTCCGCTCCCGCGAGGGGACGATCGCCGGGGCTCGTGCGGCGCCCGCGCGCGGCCGTCCCTTGGGGACGCAGCCGAGTGCAGGCAGCCCCGAGGCTGGCGTCGCGGCTACACAGAGGTCGTTTTTCAGGGGCCCAAAAAGAACATCCCAAACCTTGATGTCGGCTTAGTGTCTGGAACTAGGACTTGTCCCACCCCCTGCCCGCAGGCGTGTATGCTCGGTGGGCAAACGTGCCCAGAGAGAGGGAGCCCACGGACTGCCACAAACGCCCTTCTCTTTGTTCAGTTGGTTTAGAGGAAGCAGGAAATCGCTTCAGAAATAACGTGTTGGCTGGGAGATTCTGGTCTCTGCCTGTGAGGAAGAGCCTTGTCTATAAGGGATGTGAATGTCCATGAGGTTATTCCTCAGTGACTGGAAATGTTTCACAATGGGGCTTTAATTCAAAAGCTTGTACTGGGCTCATCTTTCCTTCTCCCTCCGCGCCTGGACTCTACCTCTAGAGAAGGAACGGTAGCTTTAGATGCTGTTAAAGTCACGTTAGCTGTAACTGGGCAGCTCTTTGCTGGCGAAGAGTGCTGCTAACACTAGATGTGCTGCTCTGGTGTCAACTTTAGAGGAAGGGGTTCTAGTTAGGACAGTGGTTGCCCACCGGTAGATCTCGATCCACCAGTACATCTCAGAGCCTCTTGGAGTCGATCCGAGGCTGGGGTGGGGGGCTGAGTGCCCGCGTGCAAGCACACGCATGCCCCAGCCCAGCAGGTCAGTCCATGGGGGAGGGAAGGGGCAGGGGCTAGATCGAGGCCCCTGCGGTGAGGGACAGTGCCGCAGAGGCAAGAGCAGGGGTAAGTTGAGTGGGGCCCCAGCCGGGTGGGACTTACCTGCCAAATATTTTTTTTTCCCTCTGCCTCAATCTGTTCCCCCCCACTCCCCACAGACTTACCTGCTGGGTGGGGTGGGGGGTGTGCACAGTGGCGCATGGTAGATCTTGGGTTGATTTTAAATGCCAAAGGTGATCTACTTAAAGAGGTTGGAGACCACCAAGTTAGGATCTCATCATTCGTCTTTCTATTTCTCTGTCCACATAGGTTTTGTATGCCTTTCTGCCTAAAACTGTCCTAGGTCCAATCAGATCCCCTGTCAATACCTCCATCAGCTTTACAGGTGCTCTGTGTAATTTATCTGAATTGTTATATTCATTTTCATCATTCGTATTGCAGTCATGCCTGGAGACCCCAAATGGGGGTCAAGGCCCTGTTTTTCTAGGTGCAATACACAATGTCATTAAAAGTTAGTCTCCCCATCCCCAGATCCAGAGTAACAAATTAAAGTCCATACTACAAAGTGCTAAGTCATGTATTTGGGGGCTAATAATAGCAAGAATTTCTGCTATAATCTGGGAACTCTTCATATTTCAAGTGATAGAGAAAGAGAGACCTAGATGCACTGATCTGACAGAGGGTGACTCCATGATGTGGTTATGAAAAAGGCAAGTGTGATCCTAGAATGCATCAGGCAAAGTACTTCCGTTCAAGGCAGTGAAAACTGAATGCCATGGTACCACACACTGCTGAGGCCTGGTGGTAGAATGGTTAAGGTGTCTCCCTACAGCAGCAGAGGTGTAACCTTGACCCTTGCTTTGAATTGTTGTAGAAAGGTGCCTCCACTTTTAAGTTGGTGTAGATGGGTGCCTAGTCATTCAGGCTGGGAGAGTCAATGCTGTTGGGGTTGATGCTAGCCACATCACTCCTTCATATGCTATGCCCAGCAGACCACTTTGGCATGGGCAATCTGTTGAGCTTTTTGGGGGGTATAGTTGTAAAACTAAACAAAAAGTGCTCATTTTCAAAAATGAGTGCTGAGAAGGAATGTTTGTTCTTTGTAAATACAGTAGGAGATTGGAGTAAACACAAGGGCAGGAAAAAAAATTTTTTAGGCTAACAGACATTATTGACATGAGAAAAAAATGGGTATAAAAAGGCATGAATAAATTTAGATTGGAAATTACAAGTTTTCTAACCATCAGTGGAATGAGGTTCTGGAACAGCCAATCAAAAGGAGGCATGGGGACAATAAATCTAAATGGTTTTAAGATCAAACTTGATCAGTTTATTAAAGATCATATAACTTAGTTGCCTGCAATGGCAGGGGACTGGACCTGATGAATAAAGGAGGTCCTTTCTAGTTTTATGTCCTATATTCCTAATTTACAGTCCAAGCATGTGATGAGGAAATGATTATACATAACGGATGCAACCAAATGAGGTTAAGTAAGAACAAGTTAATAGTGCAGCAATCATGACTGATGGAATAGGCAGCAGGCAGAGGGCTGCAGTGCCCTAGCTGTTAACCAGTAAACATCCTCGCAGAGGTGAAAGGCTGCAGGTACAAGCTCTGTGAGAGTAACAGAACCACTTCTCTAACCTCTGAGCTACATAAAGACTACATAAAGAATTCCAGGGCAAAACTGAGTCACTTGTGTGAATCACTTGTTTTTTCCTAGTTCATATTCTTTCTTTTGATCTTGTCAATCAGGGCAGCAAGATGGTGAATAATTGGGCACTTGCTCTTTAATACTAATTACAGAAAAAGAACTGATGAACTGCCAAGCTGTTTTCCCTGTTATAAGGCTTATTAATTGCATCAGCTGAAGCATTTTGTTCCTGCTTCATGACATTCCTTTACTTTATTCTGTGCTTCTGGAGTTTTTGTACAATTAAATAATTGGTGCGAGTCCTGGTTCTGCCTTTGGGCATGTAAGCATGGCTCTCCTGGGCCAGGTAGCTTGAATGGTGCAGTCTGATAATTTTGAATGGGCTTTTTAAAAAATATCCTGCTGGAAAAATCGTATCTTTGTGTAGGTAAAAAATGTTTCAGTGGATCTTGCTCTGTTATGAAGCTAAGACAAGGCTGCTCCTCCTCTGCTAAAACATGTAAAAGTAGCAACTGCATGTAAGAAAGTCTTCTGTTCAGAGACTGGGCTCGCGTCAGAGTGCAAATCCATCCCCATCCTAGATCAAAGGGAGAACGCAGCTATTGTTTGAGAGCCGTCTGCTTCCATGCCAGCTCTTCTGTGGCTGCTCTTGCCAGCAGCCTGGCAGCATAGTTCTTTTACAAATAGCAGCCGACAGAATTTCTAAGCATGGCATGCTCTCAGATGACACGGTGGCTGCCACAGGTGAAGGATGGCTTTGGATTGAAGGTATCAGACTGGGGATCTATTCCTGGCTCTGCCACAGATTTCTTGTGAACATTTGGAAACGTTGCTTAATTTCTCAGTTTCCTCTCTGTAAAATGGAGTTGGTTGTATCTCTCTGAGGTGTGCTGTGATTTTTAGTTAAGATTTCCTAAACATTCAGATAGGTACTGGAGTGAGGAACATATACAATTGTATAGTGGAGTTCCATCTGAGCTTCATGTGGGGGCTCAAGGAGTGTGTTAGTGTGTGGCCCTATCCTTTTAATGGATCTCTTGAGCCAGAGTGATCACTCTCCAGGGTACAAAACAGTTTGGGGGAAGTACTATTTGAGGGGTCTGTCTCCCTCTCGTCCCAGCACTGAAGGGATAAAATCTTTACATAGAGCAGTAGTTCTTTCCCTAGTAGATTCATGGAGGTGCTCTGATTTAACTTCCAATAAAAGTAAAGTAAAAGTAAAGTCCTTTCTTCTTTGAGTTGAGTTTCATGAGGCACACACTTTGCTGTTGGCAAGAGGGACAAGGTTTTTGTCTATGGCGATGAAAATTCTTACACATTTCAAAATGCTGTGACTCAAGAGTTTGCTTTACAGATCACATCTACTTCAAGTTCGATGACTTTAGGATTAGGAAAATGAGACATGGAGAGGTCAAGTCACTTAAGTTTTAAGATGTCATAGCAAATTAGTGTTAGTTTATCAGTAGAAACCAGCAGCATTATCTGTCTCTTCATTTTACTGTAGGTTATTTCTCGTTAACTCTTACTACACTGTATTATTTCACTAGTTTTATTTCTTGCTTCTTACCAGCTAAGGAATGGCAAAAACATTTTTAAACTCCATGAAAATGGTTCATGTTCATTGGTATGGATTGTCTTTACATCTTCTGTGACCTTTTCTTGACAGAACTGCAGGATCTTGGTAACCTTTCTGAGACATATGGTTATAGGATAGAAAATGCTATTTCCAAGGTATCTAATGAACTTGGACCAGCATTTAAAGTAGTGAACAGAAGAGGTGCCAAATGACATTGAAAGTGATGGCTGTCTAGACTGAAAACAAAGTGTTTTGAGGTCTGTACATTCCAGCAGCTCATCTGCAGCTGTGCAACATGACTTGTTGGGAAAGTACAGACTGCAGAAGCCTTCAGAAGGGACTGCTTAACTTTGCAGGCAGGAGGGTGAACCTTTCATTAAAAGTAAAAGCAAAAGTAAACACCAGACTCACAACATGTTTTCCATTGCCAATTGTGATTTTGTTTCAGTGGCAAAAAGAGCTTTTTCCTTTTAATCCCAAACGGTATTGGGCAAAATAGCACTGACACTTTGTTTCTGTCTTCACAGGTCTCATTGCAGTGGAAAGTCCTCAACCAGCAGTAAGTAACTTTTTATTTTCCAGTTGATACACTAAATTATTAAATGTAGCATGTGTGAAAGGGCAGATGGTGGTAGGCAGTATCATAGGAAGAGCGGTAGCAGCAGTGCACTAGTCCTGGGTGCCCTTGCATTGGGGGGCACCAAAACAAGTGCAAGTAATGTTTCATAATAGTGTGTAGAGGGGCATTCTGCATGTGACCCTGCACTAGGCACCAAGCTGGCTGTGGCTCTAAGTAGGATGCTAAGTAGACACTGGAAACAAATGTGTTTACTCATTTATTCAAAATGATCTTTCTAAGAACCATCCTATACTTAAGGCTATTTCTTTTCCTGCTGAAGACAGCACAGCATCAAACTCCAGTATAAGCACTACTATAATAATAGCAACTAGATTAATATCAGTAAAATTGTCTGGTGTCCTTCAGCTTGTGGGTCAAATCCTGTTTGGCAAATAAGTGTGAAATACTACCACAGAGGAGAAACGTTCTGTACCCAAGCTGTATAGCTGAAAATGATAGTGCAGGGCAACAGAGAGGATCAGTCTATCAGTTTCCTTACTGAGAAAGTGGCAAATAAAACATTTCTTTCCATTTCCATATTGCTTGAGTAGGAAGAGTACTGTATACAAAGCTGTGGTTTAAACATTCAGCTCATTAGCTTTAAAAGGAATGATTCAGTAAAGCTCACCGTGGAATTCATCATGTGTAGAGACCTACCAAAATTGTGGCAGAAGTACACTGCACAGCGGCTCCTTTAATTAAGCAGTTTCCATCATGCACCCCTGCTCCCAATTGGTGGAGGGGCCACTCCCTGCCACTCACTCCTGATCAGTGGGGAGGTAAAAAGCATGGTTTTAAATATGGTCTGGTTTTTACTTCTTGCCACCAATTGGCCAAGGAGCCCTGGCAGCCCTGCTGGTTGCTGATGACTGGCCAGGAGGCAACAACCGCACCATACTTAAAACTATGTTTTTTGCCTCCCTGCTGATCAGTAGCAAATGCCAAAGTCCCTCTGCCAATCAGTGGTGGGGGAGGGATGACGCCCAGGAAACTGCAAGATTAAAGTAGCTGCCATGCAGCGCACTTCTACTGTGATTTTGGTAGGTCCCTAATCATATATACCCTAGAAGTAATGGTTTCTTTTCAGATAGTTCCTTTCCCTCTGTCAAAATATAGATAATGTCAAAAGTCTATTTCTTTAATCATCATCATTTAACAGTCAGATTACAATAGCACCCAAAGACTGCATTATGCTTGGTGCTGTACATAGAGAGCGGTAGCCATGGTTCCTGTTCTGGGGGTTTACTGCTTGCTATTGTGTTTTCATCCAATGTGAGTTTCCTTATTTTTGTAGCATTTGACATTAGGCCAACTCTTTAGGGGTCAGTGAACTCCTAAAGCATCAAGAACAAGGGAGAAAGAGAGAATAACTTGGTGCCAGCTGTATTATAAATTATCTGTTGGAAAGACTGCCAGACCCTGCTTTCTGCTGTGACAAAGAGTGAGCTTAGTTATTCATAGTCACAAGTGCAATGCAAAGCAAGGGCTGGCTGCCTTTCATGTATGTTTTCTAATCCATGGAGTACCTAATGCCTGCAGAGGGATAAAGGAATTGTGAGATCAGGCCAATAAAATGGGCTATATTAATTTCTCACTTGGCCTATTTCGCCAGAGGCAGTGACTTGTAGGCTTCTGTGATTCTGAATATACATCTTGCTAGTGGCCTCATGGAGAGCAAGTTTCCCAAACATTTTATACAGGACTTTCATAATGTACCAGTTATGCTATATAAAACTGAAGGATGCCCCATTCTCCCTCCAGATGTGCTTTCCTCTGTCAGAGAGGAATCTCTTGTTCAGAGTGTAGCAAGCTCCAGTGGCACATACTCATTTCACTGCACCCTTAAGTGTGCAGGTTATATGGGAAGTACAGTATATAACCAGAGCTTTACTATAGTTTGTTCATTCCTGATTAGAGTACTAGCCCCAGTGACTGTAGCTGATGGGCATAGTTTAGATTAGTCTGGAAAAAGTTCTAAATATGGTGGCCCTCACTTAAAACTGACTCTTGAATCTGGGGACACTTGTGGTCATCTACAAGAAAAAGTCTTTCATAAATTGTAATGCTGTGCAGCATTTTAATAGTTTTACCCCAAGACACTATGGATGTGTACCTGAGGTTGCAGTTCCTTGAAACTTCTGGTAGAATCATAGAAAGAAGGACCAAAAGGGACCTGTCAAATTATCAAGTCCAGTCCCCTGCCGTGGGCAGGAGGCAACTGGGCTAAAATGAGCTCAACAAGGTCATTGTCCAGCCTCCTCTTGAAAACCACCAGGGATGGCACATGCACCACCTCTGCTGGAAGTGTGTTCCAGATTCTAGTTACCTGTATGAAAAAGAAGTTTCTTTGTATGTCTAGCCTAAACTTTTCCTTGACTAGCCATGTGCCCATTGGTCCTCGTCCTCGGGGGGGGGGGGGGCTTTTCTGAAAAGTTGCTCTCCCAGATCCTGGGGTTCTCCCTTAACATATTTGTAGGTGACTGCCAAGTCCCCCCTCAGCCGTCTTTTACTCAAACTGAACAAACACAGATCCTGAAGTCTCTCCTCATAAGGCCTATCTCCCAGGCCCTTGATTATGCAGGTGGCCCTTATCTGCACCATTTTGAACTTGTCCACCTCCTTGAAGTGTGGTGCCTAGGACTAGACACAGTACTCCAGTTGTGGCCTCACCAATGCCAAATAGAGGGGGAGAAGCACCTCTCTGGATCTACTGACAACACATCTGCTGATGCACACCATAGTTCTATTTGCTCTGTTGGTGACTTCATCACACTGACGGCTCATATTCATCCTCTGGTCAGTTGTCATCCCCAGGCCCCTTTTAGATGCAGTGCCAGTCAGTGGACCACCACCCATCATATAGATATGGTGAGGGCTCTCTCTACCCAGATGAAAGACCATGGCCAGTACTCTCCAACTTAATTGAGAGGATTTCATGGGAAACAGTATCAAAGGCCTTGCTGAAATCTAGGTAGATGATATCCACCTCCTGTCCCATGTCCAGCTGGTTAGTTACCTGGTCATAAAAGGAGACCAGGTTTGTTAGGTATGACCTAGCCTTGACAAAGCCATGCTGGTTGTTTCTCAGTACCCCACCAGTTACGAGCTTGTGGTTGATGGCCTCCTTGACAATATTTTTCAAAGATTTTTCCTAGGACCAAAGTCAGACTGACCAGTCTATAGTTAGCAGAGTCATCCCTCTTTCCTTTCTTAAAGATGGGTACTATGTTAGCCCTCTTCCAGTCATTCGGGACCACTCCTGAGTTCCACGACTCTTCAAACAGCCTCACCAGAGGCACCGCTATGAGCTCATCCAGTTCCTTCAGCACTCTCAGATGCAGGTCGTCTGGCCCAACTGACTTGAAAACATCCATATGATCTAAGAGTATCTTCACCTGTTCAGGACTGATTTTATGTGGACTGCTGTCATCACAGTATTCTCTGCACCTCTGGACAGGTGACAAGTTCTCACTTGGTTTCAGGAATACTGATGTAAAGTGTTAAGGAGCTCTGCCTTTTTATCTGATGATGAGCAGAATCTCAGCTTCACATTTGCAAAGTGTTTTGAGTTTGCCTGAGTCTGCAGGCTGCCTGAAACAACTGGTTTGAGAAGGGTGAA